TGCTTGGATCTGGCGCTTTAACCACTTCTCTTGTCTAGAAAAAAGTTCTCAGCATCAGGAGTCAAACTGACCGAAGGGACTTGACGGGAATCTATTCCATGCCTGCGGGGACTAATATTGCAATTGCCAATGACTCCTCCTGCCAGGTGCTTATTTTCTGAAAAGGTGCGCCTGCGGCTCAAGCTTGCCTGCCTCCACACCCTCTGCCCTAGAAGCTTTTCTCCACAGTCCCAGATGTGTGGCATTGAAGGCACACAGGTAGTGCCAAGGCTGGCTGACCCCGGGAGGGGTGGCAATGGGTTTGGGGAAACAGCCGCGGTCAAACTAAGAAGCTGTGGTGTTTCATCCATTCGCCCTCACCTTTGGGTAGGCGAATGCCAGCTTTCGGAAAGGAGGGTCTAGGCGACTGAAAGAAAAACCTCCGAGAAAGCTCGGAGCGAGAGCGGATTGTTCTAGTTGCCCTCTTTTATTTCCAGACCCAAAAGAGGAGAAGCGCCGTTCACAGACTTCGCAGCAAAACAAGCCCAGTAGTAGTCCACCTAGTGCTCCCTCTAAGCTGTAGAGTCCTGAGAGCAAAAAGTCTACTTTGTGAGCTGCCAGCATTAAAGTTGTGAGCAGGTGATTTGGCTACTGCATAAATTAGTTTGTTCTGGAGGATACTTCCTGAGCTAAGACAAAAATGTGTGAGCCAGAGGATAAAAAACTGTGAGCTAGCTCACACTAACTCAGCTTAGAGGGAACACTGGTCCACGCCATAGCGTTTAACTGTGGGGAAAGACCCGGCTTCTCTCGAGTAAACCGCCGAGTGCATCTCTCAAAGACACGAGTGGGCGCGTCGTTTGGGCTTCAGGTCTCGGCTGGAGCTCAGGATCGCCATCTCAGGCTCATTTGCTTGGGAGGAAGTCCCACTGAAGTCTCAATGCGCACAGATAGGATCGACACCTGCAGCTGCCTACCTTCAGCTTTCCCTTGCCTGACAGCGTCCCTCCGAACCTTCCTGCCAAGCAAGGTGCTCAGTCAGGAGCAGCGTCTTCGCTGGCAAGTTAAGGAGAGCATCCCTGAACTTGCCACTGAAGCAGCCCAAATCTCTTCCCAGGAGGTCGGGAGGGCTGAACTGAAAGTCTCCTCCTCCTCGCACTAGAGAGAGGGCGAGCTTTGTGGAGAGTCCCGAGGGAGATGGAAGAGGTGGCGCGGCCAAGGGACTCTCCAAAAACCGGGGAGAAGAGCTTTTAAAAGCCCCGGAGCGTCCCTCGGGGAAGGAGAAGGAGGGGGTGGCGCTTGACGTGCGGGGTGAAGCAGAGGGGGGGGATCAAGTGGGAGCTGGGGTCGCTTCAAACTCAACCAGTCCCAGTTCAGGCGGACCAATCCATTTCAGCTCCATCTATAACAGGAGGGTAATAATACTGGCCTGCCTCTCAGGGCTGGTGTGTGGTTCTTTTTGTAGTCCGCCTTTCTCGCCGAGACAGCAAGCCGCCAAGATAAGAATAAAGGAGAAGCACTTGCAAAAAGAGGGGCGAGAAATGCTGTCCCTCATCAGAGTGGAACGGGGAGGGGCAGCCTTAGGGTTTCGGTGATGCGCCAAGTTGGGTCAGGAAGTCCTGGGACCTCCTCCCTGGAAGATTTTCAAGCAGAGGTTGCCCTGGCATCTAGCTGGGAGTCCGAAGGTGCACTGGCTTGGGGGTGAGGCAACCAGCTGGAGCCGAGATGACCCGATGGGGAGCCGCCAGCGAGGCTGAGAAAAGGATAGTCGCTTGTTCTTCTGGCATAGGGCTGTGGCAGGCTGAAATACGTCACAGACAGCTCTTACTTGGCAAGGATAAGAAAGGCATTACCTGTTGTCTTTATGCCTACGGGGAGAAGAGATGGCAACCGCGAACAGAGGAAGCTGCGGCAGGAGATAGGGGATTACGGATAGAATTCTATCAGTCTACCAGGCCATAAGGATCTCTTGGTCCCGTTCCCCGACGCCTATTTCTTAGGGTACCGTAGGCACAATGTTTGCCAGGGACCAGGCGTCCATTCGCTCTCACGCTTCCTTTGAGAGAAATTACGCGTCTTTAAGTACTCCCATTTTACAGATGAAGGATTGAGACTGGTATCACCTGCCTAAAGCTCCTGAGTCCTGACTTGCACGGAGGGTCCCATGTTTTCAGTGTAGGTCGGAATGGGTTTTCCGAGGATCGGGGAGGAAACCGGAAACCCGAGTTGCCGTCTTTTTCTGTACGTCGGGGCTCTTGCAGAAAGCCACAGGGAAGAGTCCCCTCAGCACCCCAGTGCCCCCCGCCCAAGAGTTTAGGCTGTTGATGTTGCTCAGCAGTTTAATTTTCAGCCTGTCCAGTTAAAAA